ATCATTCGGCGCGCGCGATGTCTTCACATCCCCCCAATGATTCGGCATCGGCCTTCGGCCTTAGGCACCCCATCATCATTTGGCGCGTGCGATGTCTTCACATCCCCCCAATGATTCGGCCATCAGCTATCGGCCTTCGGCGCCATCAGCCTGCTGAAGAATGAGCTGAAGCATTACTTGGCCAGTGCATTAGTGACTACAAGTCCCCAATCAAGAAGTACCTCCTTAATCGGGAACTTGGGGGACTCCTGTTTGTACAATATCTAGCCAAGCACTCCCCAAACACTCCCAAGCCAAAAGGAATGGAGTCCCACATCGACAAAACACAAGAGGAGGGGACTCTCCCTTCTTTATAAAAGGAGACCTCTCCCCTTCAAGAAGGGAGAGAGTTGGGCAGGCTAAATGGGCCTCATGGGCTTACCCATGAGCCCATTTACAAGCCCATGGATTATTGGCCTTCAGCCAGATCCTCAGCCTTCGGCCATCAGCCTTCGGCCTTCGGCGCCATCAGCCTTCAACCATCAGCCTTCGGTATTCTTCCTCTTCTCCTTGGGTCAAACCCTATGTGCATTGTATACAATATTATCGTAATGAGAACATACTTTTCCGTGGACGTAGCCCATTATTCGGGTGAACCACGTACATGTCTGCCGCGCAAATCTCAAGGCCTGGAGTTCCGGGCCGAGGGGATATGCGTTGACACGCGGTTTCCTACTTTTGGGTGCGGTGCGGTTGTGCGCGGGCGTGCCAGCACGGTCTACCGTGCGTCGAGATGTTGATGAGTGTAGGATGGATAAGTGGTGCGCCTGTTTGAACTCGTCTTCTAATCAAACGATTGTAGCCGAGAGAGGAACTAGTCTCGGCTATTAGGTTCACGGCCTGAACTACAAGGCCGTTGAGTGATGGTGTTGGTGGTGGGTTTTGGGCGGTGCTCCGGCGCGTCGCTCAGGGAGCAACAGTCGTATGATATATGGGGTGAGGGAACGAACAACAGGGATGGTGCTCCAGCGCCTTGAAAATCAAGGGTCGTATGATATATTGATAAATGAATTTTCCTTACAATCTAACACTACTCCTAGGAAAGCAAGTAAAGATATTGAAAGTGCATTACAGGAAAAAATAAGTTGCTCCGTGGGAGGCTTTGGTTTGGTGTTTGAACCCTTTGAATGTAGCTTGAGCCTTGTATTTATAGGAAGAGTTCCTGGATGAGTAATCGAGGCTGAATTTACGCATAGTGGAGTCTGATTAGCGCAAGTGGGTGTCCAATCGACATTTGGGATCGTGAAGCATGGTGGTGTGACGCATTTATTGCTCTGATAGTTGGTGACCTTTTCTCTCAAGCTGCAAGGATTCTTGTGAGAATGTCTACTTCTAATCACTCTGTCTTCTGTCGCCAAAACCTGACTTCAGTCACTTCCCACCTTCCCTCGTGCATTAAATGCTTATTTGTGGCCAGTGGGTTTGCTGCATTAAACAGGCACTACTTCATTAAATG